AACATGAACGTATTTGATGGTGTATCATACCAATATCCTCTCGGAACTAATCCAAATGGAGTGTTTGTTAAGTTGAAGTATGGATCATCATATAATGGAAATTTATAAGGGGTTGAAAGGAGTACTAGGTCTTTTCCCCCCAGTATTAAATCGAAGGCTACTTCTCTCTTTTTTAATATGTCTGGATCTGCAAAGAGATGATGAAATTCTGTTAACCATGTTATAGGACTAGGATTTTGTCCAGTCCAACTTCTTTCAAGTGGTACTACTACTGCTTCTGTGCTATGTTTGTAATGTGGATGTATGTTTGATTGGAGTGTAATATTAACAATCGTTTGTGAGTTTAAAGGTGTTGTTCCTTGACCTACTCCTGCGATTTGATATAGCTTTTCAACTTTGTATGTTTTTAATTTCATTTTTTGTACTGCCCTTTGTGTTATTAGATTTATTTGGGCTCCTGTATCTAATAGTACTCCAATTTGCATATTTCCTTCAAGACATGTAGCTTTGATTGTTTCTAGGAAACAGCACTTGGGGTATTGAAAACCCAATGTTAGTGATATCACCACTTTTTCTAGTCATATGTTCGGTGCATTAACAACATTCTGAGGTTGTGGGTTTACTGGTGCCGAGTTATTTTTGCTTTTGAACTTTGTATGTTTTTAATTTCATTTTTTGTACTGCCCTTTGTGTTATTAGATTTATTTGGGCTCCTGTATCTAAGAGTACTCCAATTTGCATATTTCCTTCGAGACATGTAGCTTTGATCCAAAGATCCTTTGTCGTGAACCCCATAACTTTTGGGTTACAATCACTATAGTGGTGAAAAAGATCAGTATACAAGCCACGTAATTGTTGTAAGACTCCAACACCCAAATGACCACGGCTCAATAAAAGTTGATTTTGAGAGTTTGCCTGATTTCCTGTATTTGCAGGGCAGTAGTTGACTGATGCATTTACTTGTTGTTTGTTATTTTTTAATTGATTCAATCTTCCTTGAAATTCATTGAATAATTGTTCAATTCTTAGGCGACAAAGTAACAAAAGGACAGATATACTTAACAATAATAACAATAAGGAAACAACCAAAACTAAAGAGAATAGTATGCCTACCATTGCTAATGGAACTAAAACCATTAAAGGAGATGCTCTTGGATTATTATATCGATTGTTCCTTGTCTATATGAATTGTTATTGTTGTTATTCCTTTGTTGGTTTTGATTTCTCTTATCATACGGATGGTAACGATTACCTTGATTTTGGTAATTTCCTCTACCTCTTGGATTATTATATCGATTGTTCCTGTAATTGTTGGAATTATTATTATTTTTGCAAATAATCGTATGATGTCGTTGTCTACAATTCTTACAGGTCCATTTGCTAATACAGTTATAAGCTCGGTGTCCTGTTCTTAAACAGTTATTACATAAATTTTTTGATTGTACCACTTCCAATTTTTTGTGTAAAGGTATTTGACAATGAAAGAATGGGTGTTTACCGTCACAAAATAGGCAGGGTCTTTTTTGAACCTCTTCTGTGTTATTTGTGTTTCCTTTTTGTATAGTATTTTTATTTTTATTCTCTTTTTTATCTTTTTCTGGTTCCTCATCATCATCATTTTCTTGTATTTTTTCTAATTTTATGGATACTTCTTGTACTTTAGGGTTTTCTTTTTTAATCTGCGTAGGTTCGGTTTTTATTTCAGTTATTTGTTTCTTTTTGTGTTCGTCTTTAACGACATTCACACCAACTCTAAATAAGGATAATTTTTCATGGTATGAGTTTGTTTGTTTTTTGATTCTGTCGCTAAAATAGCTTGTATACCATCCGTATTGTTTTTCGGGATTTTCTTTCCATTCTTTTAATATTGTCCTATTTAAGACTTTTGCGTTAATTTTTGTTGTAATATAGTTTTCAAGATTGGATATGATTGATCCCTGATTTAGATGATCAAGAACTGTAGGCCATATTTTAGTGATTCTCTTTCCATTCTTTTAATATTGTCCTATTTAAGACTTTTGCGTTAATTTTTGTTGTAATATAGTTTTCAAGATTGGATATGATGGATCCTTGATTTAGATGATCAAGAACTGTAGGCCATATTTTAGCGTGCACTTGACGTAGATCAACTTGCAGATTTACTAGTAAGGCCATTTGTTTTTTGACTTCTTCTAAATAAGAGGCACATTGTTCAAATGTTTCATTTGGTTGAGGTAGGTTTTCTATATCTTGAATAATTTGTCTTATTTGTTGAGATACGTTGCCGTAGTTATCGAACAGAATACGTAGTGCTTCAAGATATGCTGTCTCATCATTACGTCCTCTGTAGTGTTTTATCTTTTGAAGTGCTTCACCATCTAAATGCATCATCATTATTTGTATACGTTGTATTGGTTTTAGTTGATCTTTTGGTGCTTCATGCACGCTTTTAAATTGAGTCCATACTTGATCAAATGTAATTTTATCATCCACTGATCCTTCAAACTTAAATTCTTTTACAAATGTTTTTTCATAATCTTTTATGTATCTTTGTTGTTGATCATTTGAGAATTCTAGTCGTGAACCTTTTCCGTATCTTTCAAGTTCACTTCTCAATGAACCTTTTAGTTGATCCATATCTATGCCGAATTCTTTTTGCAATAGTATTTCTTCGTTTTGATCGGTATTTATTTCTTTTTCAGTCGTATTTTGCCCTTGTAGATATTCGTTACATGTTTGTTGTTCATTAACCACTTCATTTGATTCTATAGTTCTGATATTTTCTGTTTTTGTATTTTGATGTATTTCAGTATTTTTATTTTCCAATTTTGTTTGTTCAATTTTTTCTTTTTGTATTTGTTTATTTGTTTGAGCAAGTTTAATTTTTTCCTGTATTTTTTCTTTTATTTTTGGATTAATTTCTGGTATTTGTACTGTAAGAATATTCATTTTATCGGGTCGAAAAGTAACCCAATTTTGGATTAATTCATCAGTTTGGCTTCCAATAATATCTTGCATTATTTTTTGTAAGATTTCGATTTGATTTATTTCTTCTTGTGGAAGCATTGTTATATCAAGAGATATGAATTCCGTTGTGGTTTCAATAAAGTCTTGAAGAATGTCATTAAAGATATCTTCTTGATTTTGCGGATCAGATTCAAAAAAGGTTCTATCTGCCGCTTTTATACCTCTTATTATTCGAAAAAGTAAGGATATGACAGACAATTTTTGTTGTTGTATATATTCTTTTTTATAATCAGCTTTTAGTTCTTTTATATTTAGAGTAGTTTGACGCATATAAAATAAAACTTTCGCTTTTTTCTCTCGACATTTCCGTTGAGATAATGCCCATGATCTACCATTGCATTAGTTTCTCATTTCAGCGTCAGAGGCGACGAAGAAATAACCATTATACCGTTATATTTTAAAATTGAATTTTACATTAATGTGACGCTAACGCCTTCCCGAGATGAATTTTTGAAAAAATCTAAAAAGAAAGGCAAAAGTTAACCTCTGAAAACAAAATTCCGAATGCTTTGCGGTCGGTATCTCTTACGTAATTCAGAAATACTGTCAGTAAAAGGTATGCAATATTTCTCATTTGAAAGAGCAATCAATCAAATTCACCAAGAGAACCTCAAAAATCCAACCATTTAAATCCAGCGATCAGGTCCATGTTTAAACCTTTCGACAATCGTAACGACCAACAGTTGAATCTTAACTTGAACAAAGCTCGAAACAAAATTGGCTCATGAAACTCCGAGTTATCAAAGGTCTTTGTTCGTATTTGTCCCTGTTAATCTCTAAACAATGCAAGGTATGATCAGAGATTCAGGTCGTTCTTGACCTTCGCAAGAACAAGCCACTCACACAGACCCAATTATTGCTGTACAGCATCGTATATAGGGGTCTACGGTGAGTTTATTTTCGTATATCTCGCTTTTCCTCGCAATTCGCTTTTCCTCGCTGGAGCAAAATCCATTCAAGCACTACATAATGAAGTTTCCCGTCTAGAAATTCTCGCCCGCAGCAGCTACAGCGGGACTCTTTGACGCCTTCTCCGGGGCATTGTGGACCCATTTCAGAGGTACGAGTGCGCTGCATATACTCAACTGTTGCCGAGAATCAGTACAAGAATCATGGAGAAAAATCGTCGTGAAAAGTTCGAAAACATCTTCTGGTGACAACCAAGTATCGCCTTGACAATAAAATGGAGAGAGAAGAGCTTCTCTTGAACCAGCAGGCATTTTCGAACTATTTAAAAGCATGCGGAATTGAAGCCTCTGAAATATGCCCCTTTATGTTCCCCTTTAATTTTCAGAGTTTATGAAGAAAAGATATGCGAACTCCCTTGCTATCTTGAATTATTTTCAAAAGTACGTGCAAGCCAGATTGTGGAATAAATTGATAACTGAAATTTGAGACTTTTCGAGAGAATTTCATTGCTTAAATTTTACATTTTTACAGCAGAGAACTTGACAGTTTTTTTGAAGAAAATGATCGGATAAATTGCTCTGGCCTTCACTGCATTCGCTGCAGTAAATCACACGGAAATTGAAAAAGAAACTGAAATTTCTGAAAATATTTCTGGTTGTTCTGCGAAAAATTTGCTTCCGCGAAATGCAGATGATGGCCTCTGTTTTTGTTACCTTAATTCCGTTGCGCTGACACTTCATGCAAATGATTAAGAAGCGTGAGAATATATAAGCAATCTTTGCAACGTTAATCAGCAGTTACGAAAGTGGAGGGCAAATTTCTGAATATTCCCCTAATCAGCAAAAATTTCTGATTCGAAACTGAAAATTTCAGAGCCCAAACCTCACGACTTGGACAACCATTCTATCCTGAAAAGCTCTCTCGTGAATTTTATCTGAACCTAGAACACAGGAACAAAACTGTAGAATTCCAATTAGCAGTTGCACTTATTCCTAGGACGCGAGTTCGGATTCACTCTGCAAATTCTCTAGGGGAAAAAAAAACTGATTGTCATGTTCTTAATTCGATCCCAAGCCCTGTTAATCCTGTTAGTGTTTATTTCAACTTACTGGAATGCTTGCACCATCGGAAGCATTTTCAAATCGTACTCGTCGCATAAGTGCATGTAATCTCCACCCGTGTGCCATGGATAGAAAGAATGGAATCTAAAAGACAAAAAAGCCCATCATTCAGCCACAGATATCTCTCTTGAAATTCCGAACTTATTTCAAGCTCTTTCTGTTAAAACAATTGGGGTCGTTTAAAGAAATGTGGGGAATGGTTTAAGAACTAGTGCAGATTTTCCCCGATCCTCATCATACACGAGCCGTGAGATGAGATTAAAGCGCGAAATTTCGCAGATGAATGAAGCAGAAAACGTCAATTAAAAGTTACATTTACGCCTGATCCTAATCAACGATTACAAGGAAAATTGAATAAGCTCCTAGAGTGCTTTACACTTGATCAAAAAATCTTAGCAGCATCAAAATGTGTCAATCCTGTTGAGTAACTGAAATGTATATCTTTTGATGCAACATGTAAACTCGGCAAGAAAATATGCCCACAATGATTAAGAGACTATAAATTTAAGAAGTCCCCTTTATTGCCTTGACATAATTATCGCACTGTGACGGAGACCATAAGAAGTTTGATAAATACAATTAATTGTACAGAAAATGCTGGAGTCATTTCTAAATTATCAAAGACATTATATGCATACAACGAGACATATAATTTTTCTCTTCTCTTTATTTTCGAATGTTGTGTAATTTTATTTCAGCTATGGCTGGCTATAGCAAAGAGCTTGGCCAGCACGATAAAATAAGAAACAATCTTCGAAGCATTTACAATATCATCACAGATCTGTCTTGGAAATCATCTTGTTCATAGCTTTTTCTACTGTAGAAGGTCTCGGATAGGCTTTCTTTTGGGGGCTCTGTATAGTGACAACACATTTCAGCAAAAGAGATTTTTTGCGAGATGAAGGAATTCGATTTTTCAGATTTTCGTTTACCAAGAAGTGGAAGAAACTCTATAAAATGGCATTTCTGAATTTTTTTTTTCGATAAAAGCGAGAGCTTCTAGCACTCATCTGGTGCTGAAAGGAACATTTCTAGGTAGGGAATAAATAATTGTGAAATATTTTTTAGTATTGTGCTTGGAACATTTGTCGTCGAAACAGAATACGCAACAAAAATGAAAGAGAGAAAAGAGAGAGGTGGAAAATACTGCGTGACAACGAATGCATTCGCGGAAACCGGGGGGAATCAGCACTTGCCTGATGATGTACAATGCCTCGGGCGGCAAGGAGCATTTGTTGTGCTCAAGGATACGGAACATGTATTCGTCGTGGCCCCAAGTCATGGTCACGTTCCTCAGGCCGCAATTCGGCTGGTACACACCGTATTTCGAGCTGTGGAAAATTTTCCCCGGGACCCACTGCGAATTAATATCCTCCTGATGATGAACGCGACGACTATATATTGAAGAACCTGACGACCATGTATAGGTATTATTTATTCCGTGAATAACTCTATGCGAGCTCGTTAATTGTGGACCATACAGAGAGAAGAAGAAATCCTCATCTCCTTTTTGGGCGATGTTAAGAAAAAAAATTACGAGTCTTTCTGGAGAACCCGTGGTCCTGGGTCATTCAATTTGTTGCTTACGCAGTACTTCAGGAGTCAGACAGCTGATTGCTGTTTGTTCTTTGTCTCATTCCAAGATTTGTGCACCAGCACTCCATAGTCGAGTGCAGCAGAAATGCAATTAGTCAGGGCTTCATTTATAGCCGCTTCCGAGTTTTAGGACAACGAGAGTAAACACACAGCGGATTAAAACTTGAATTCGAAATGCCCCTTCATTTTCATCTGGGCAATTATTCAGACTAATGACAATTATTCATGCTAAATTACTTGAGGCATTTTCAGTTGTATTACTAGGTCTCTAATTACTCGTTCTGTGCAAGAACCCGTCTTGAATCTTGCATTTGATTCTTCTGCGTTTCAATCGTAACCCGGAGGGAAGAAAATCCGTTTTAATCGCAAAAAAGGCGTGTTTGAAAAATAATGACTCTCGTATAAATATGGGTAAACGTTCGCATCCAAAATTTTAGATGTGTACGTTTTCTGGATGAAGAACACTCAGGATAGCAATGATTTAACTGTAACTGATTGTATTTGTTAACCGAGGTAACATCTGTACAGTATTTGGTTATCCACGAAAATTCTTAATTTGAGACATTGAGGGTCATAAGCACGAATATTTGGAGTTCAACTGTTCATACCTTGGAAAATGTTGCTTCGACGATAATTATTAAAAGAGCCGCCAATCCTCGAAATTGTACAGTGGAAGAGAAGCATATCTCAACTAAATTAAAATACAAATCTTGAATCATGGCATATTGATCAACGCGTTGGAAGCCAAAATAAACTTCTGAATACAGTAATTTACAGCAGTATACTGTACTGTCCTCGACTCGTATATGGATGGTGGCCACATATTGATTTGCCGAAGTGCAAGGAAATCGGGAATATTCACTCGATATAATGCATAAATCATACTTGTAACGGGAATCATGAAGGTCGGGATTGGCGTCGAAAGTACGTTCACGGTAAACTATTGATTTGGCGAACTCGCATCCCACTGGGTGCGTGTCTCCTGCAACTGCCCACTGTGGTTCTCCGTAGAAGGCCATGATCTGGAGAAGAAGAGAAAAGCTCTTGGCCCACAAGTAATTTTATTCAAGTAGATGTCGCTCGAAGAGACCATCCCATTCTCTTTTCATCCCATCTTACTGTATACAGCTGCATGCATCGTCTATTTCCGAATGCTCAAGGCGCCCACGTGAACTCGTATAAGTTAACATTTGAAGAGGATCTCGTTTCCATACCCTCCTCTACAATAAAATTTCAAAAAATCAAAGCATAAAAATGGGCGGACGAGAAAGAGCACCGCATGTTTTAGTACACGATAAACGAGCAAAACAATGCGTAATCGATTCATAAAATTTGATCGATTTTTCAGGCGGTTCCAGGAAAACAAGATACGAATCAAAACTTTCCATAAAAGGAGCTTCAAGCCAAGGATACGTAAAAGAAAATCGAGTTAAAGAAGTTTGTCATGCATTACAGTATTTCTATGAAAATTCATAAAAATAGTCAATTCTCAGGAATTTTGGATGTCCTCACGGGTACACCATGGAAATGTCAAAACATGCAGGCTCTTCAAATCAAAAATGTACAGTATGAGTGTATGACAAAGAAAATATTCGCATAAGGAAGGAAGCGACACCTTTCCGAGGTCGTGGATAAGTCCCGTGAGGTGAAACCAGTCCATGTCCGGATGTTTCTCTCGGATCCTCTCGGCCGTTTGAAATGCGTGGATTATGTTGGGCAGGTCCATGTCTGGATCGGTTTCGTCCAGAAACGTGGAAAGCCTTTCGAGAGTGTCCATAACACTTGCTTTGAAATGATCAAACTTGCCCCATTTCGCTATCTATTAAAAAATATTATAAATAAGATTGGACTCTCGAATCGAAAATTAATTCTAGGTGTAAAATTCAGTTCTCATAGTCCCACAGCACGGCTGTATTTCACATGGCATCTATTATTGGAGACTGGGACGCTTATTTTGGACGTAATAGCTCATCGCCGAAGACGGCTGAAATAATACATTTTTACGCAAGCAAAAATGCATCCTCGACCAGGGAAAACAATTTCAGCAACTGTATTTGAAAACCGTTAAGAAAATAAGATGCCTTGAATTTTGTCTCGTCGTGTATAGTATACTGTACTTGAGATTCGAGCAGTGTGCACATGCTTTAAATACTGTACATCGTATTGAAAAACATGTTGTGTAATTTCTTCTCAATTAAATTTAAGATCACCGGTCTGCCCGTGATAAATGAGGATTGACACGGACATCGCTTCTTTATTCAGACATGGAAATAATAAATCCGTGTCTACTTATTTGAATCGTTCTTGATATAACTCAATATACTATCCCTCGCATCGTCAATGTCCATCGAAATTAGGACCACATCGAATCACGCCACAGCATTGCCACACTTATTACGAGATGCAAACCTCAATTTTTCCCATTCCTTATGGATATAGATGAAACCTTACCTAATTTTTAGGACCCATTCGGACCACTCCACTGGAAATAGTCCTCATTCTTTCATCAACAATCCAAACCAGATCCAGCTTGAACTTTCTTTGGTATAGCAAAGAACACATACTTCGAGGTCGTGGATAAGTCCCGTGAGGTGAAACCAGTCCATGTCCGGATGTTTCTCTCGGATCCTCTCGGCCGTTTGAAATGCGTGGATTATGTTGGGCAGGTCCATGTCTGGATCGGTTTCGTCCAGAAACGTGGAAAGCCTTTCGAGAGTGTCCATAACACTTGCTTTGAAATGATCAAACTTGCCCCATTTCGCTATCTATTAAAAAATATTATAAATAAGATTGGACTCTCGAATCGAAAATTAATTCTAGGCGTAAAATTCAGTTCTCATAGTCCCAAAGCACGGCTGTATTTCACATGGCATCTATTATTGGAGACTGTGACGCTTATTTTAAACGTAATAGCTCATCACCGAAGGCGGCTGAAATAAAACAATTTTACGCAAGCAAAAATGCATACTCAACCAGGAAAAAAAAATCAGCAACTTCATTCGTAAACCGATAAGAAAATAAGATGCCTTGAATTTTGTCTCGTCGTGTATAGTATACTGTACTTGAGATTCGAGCAGTGTGCACATGCTTTAAATGCATCGTATTGAAAAACATGTTGTGTAATTTCTTCTCAATTAAATTTAAGATCACCGGTCTGCCCGTGATAAATGAGGATTGACACAGACATCGCTTCTTTATTCAGATATGGAAATAATAAATCCGTGTCTACTTATTTGAATCGTTCTTAATATAACTCATTTTACTATCCCTCGCATCATCAATTTTCATCGAAATTAGAACCACATCGAATCACGCCACAGCATTGCCACACTTATTACGAGATGCAAACCTCAATTTTTCCCATTCCTTATGGATAGTGATGAAACCTTACCTAATTTTTAGGACCCATTCGGACCACTCCACTGGAAATAGTCCTCATTCTTTCATCAACAATCCAAACCAGATCCAGCTTGAACTTTCTTTGGTATAGCAAAGAACACATACTCACTCTGCCCTTGACGAAGTCGACGGTTTGATACGTGTGCAACTTCTCGTATGTCTCTCGTACGCGAATTTCGGAGGGCGTGTCTCCGGTCCCGTAATTACGAAAAGTTGTTGAATCCTTCTCATTGAAGTCAACTGATGCTGGCTTTTGAGGTAATTCAATGGAAAAAAAAGGAGACCAAGGTGGTCAGACAACAGCACTGAAATTTCGGAAGTATGCCGAACCAATGACATACGTTGTCTGGCATCAGTAATTGATGCTTTGAGATTATAATTAGTCTCAAATTCAAAATAAATAACAATGGAACCTAAATTATATATCGTTCAATGATCCGATGGCTTCACACAGATTATGACAAAAACTCCTGGTAATTTCAAATTATTTGAAAATTTCATTCCGCAGCAGCAACTTTACGTCATAAAGTGTCAGCTTTCCACGGAAATTTTTTTATTCAAATCGAAAATTTCCTTATGCTCGGATGCACTCGAATCCAACAAAATAATGCATTTTTTAAATTTTAGCGGAATCCTAACAAACAGTGCTGTACTAAAATTTGTGACTCGCTGATCAAAGATGGCGAAATGCCTGCTGGAGATGCTAAAATTAATTAGATTTGGGGCCATTCGAGGCAGATTTACGGACGGGACGAGATTCCATCGCAATTCATTATTTCGTGCGCTAATAAAACGAAGCCATGTACATTAATTTTATGAGCAGAATTGCGGAAGTAAAATTCCAATGCGTTTTCACCTAAAAGCACTGGCTTTCGAAAGTTCGCAAGCATTTACTTGTCACCAAAACCAGAGAAACTCACCACAATCCTCATGGTTGTTAACGTTTCGTCGTCGTCACTTCTTCGATGAAATCAAATCACCTCAGTACCGCAGTATATGTCGTCAGTAGCAATGATCACATCGAAACTTATATGCAACACAGCAAATATCATGATCAATAATCGGAACGAAATAAGTCACTCTTCGATGAACGAAGAAGAAGCCACGTTCGAGTGAAGCCATTCATTGTAATGAAGTAATTTTTTAATTGTCAGAAATTATGCGTGTTTTTGACGTTATCCCCAAAAACTAAAAATCGAAAGCATAATTTTTCTAGTCCTCGTGTCCGATCCATTTTCCCCCATAGAACCCTTTAATCACCGGGGAACCAAGAATCCGAACGTCAGTCTAAAAATAATTCATGGAATTATGTCACTAAAAATGAAACGATCTTGCCATTTCTTCCCGACACTATTGAACCAACGGATAAATTGACAAAGATATCAACAGGTCAGTGCTGAGGAGGACCACCGAAAATCTCGGCCGGTGTCCAGGAAGTGACGAACCCTCCGGATCGACTTCATACATATTAGCTAGAAAAAAATAAAGTCACCTTTGTTCCTCTGGGCACAGATCCAAGTCTAACGGAATATATCTGTCCCGTTTCTTTGAACAGCCGAGCCCAAATAATAAGGAATAACAACATCAAGATGAACAGAGTGCGTCTCACTGGTTTATTTTTAATTCTTTTTAAACATTATTAATTAAAATTCGAGACGGGCGAGTGTAGCAAGCCCCGCTGCGCAGACAAACTGTGAACTTCGATGTCGTTAAAATTATTTACTTAATTAGCCCGTAGTTCGATAATGTATAAAATAAATAAATGTAGAAAAGGTTGTGAGCCTTAGGATTCAGAATACGAAGCACAACGACCGCATTAAACGATGACCAAGCAAAAAACAAAACAAAACTCAAGAGTAGCTGTCCGGACGATTGAACTTCACGAAATATTGCCTAATTACACTAGTTTCACAAAATATTTCGTGTAAAAATGTACATTTAAATGCATAAATATGTATATAAATTAATATCTCTAGGAAGAATAGCTGATTCCGTGATCAGACCATTTTCCATGAGTTGGTGTGCCAAAGAATTTACTGGGTCACAGATGAGTAAATACTCGTTGACAAGGAGAAACTAAATTGGATCCAACAACTATATGGATTGAAAAATAGCCCTATTTTTATGAGTCAAGATTCATTTCTGAAACTGGAACACTTCTTGAAATAACTAAGAGAATGCTCGTCTCCCTAATTCGACGACTTTCTTAAAAAGTAGATTTTTTTAAACGGCCGAATTACTCATGAAACTAGAGTTTGAAAAATCGAGACGTGGAAAGCAAAATTAATTGAAAATGAATGGAATCAACTTTCATTTGAGATTTTACATCAAGTTTTTTCATCTAAAGTTTTTGAGATGATGGATATTGGGTAAAATTGGTCGAACTGTTTCAAGGAAACCTAAAATATGCTGCATATTTTTCATCGTATACAGAAATTAATAATTGGTACCAGGCTAGTTTCTGCTCAGGGGCACCTTATATGCTATCCCTGATCCACTGTGCTTAACTGCGCATTTGACCTGAGTTTAAAATTTGTCACGTACTCTTCTGGCCTTTCACACGTAGAACGCATTCCCCAAAATTCAAAAGCAACGTGTTATTGCAAGGATAACACGTTTTCTCTCCCGTCCATGACAAACATCATTAAATCCTTTGCAGCATTGAAAAACAGAAGATATTTCTGCGCAAAAAAAAAGAGCTGCCATTCTCACGGAATTTTCCACTGCCCTTATTGTTGGCCGAAGAATTCACTACTTCACCGATGAATGAGTATCGTTTAACTATTGGCACATGAACGGGGTTCAAAAGTTGTCACACATTCGTCTATATTCGTTCCCACTTGGAAGTAGATTTGTTGACTGATGAAATACGACGTTGTTGCACCACGAGAAGCACGCCTTTTGCTTCACATCACGTGTCGCATGTAGAGGACAGCTAACTTCAAGTCGAAGCATCGGCCAGTACTTCAAGAAAGTACATCAGACGTTAACATGATTTTAAAAAAAATCAGGAGAAAAATCTCCTGATCGTTGTGAAATGAAAGTTGAAAATTAGTTTAAATACTGGCCATGAAATCGGTGAACGTTAATGATCGTTTTTCCTGGTCCGTTTCCGATCAAAAATTTAACTTCATCACTGAATTTAGTGTTCGATAATTGACTGAGGTGTGGCACACTATATTGCAGCTGAAGTATTAGATATGCCTATCGTATGGCAAGTGTGAGTGTGTGACACACTATAGTGCCAGGATTCTTCTATCTTGATCTGGCTTGTGTCGTTTTGCATAAATAGCAGTAATAATCTCCAATATGCTGATATTCATACAAAATGTTCAAACCCAGGAATACTATACCGATTTGATCCTAAAATTGTTTCCCATTATTCTAGAAAAAACTGTCATATAAAGAGTGTCAGTTGTGACTGTTTTGAGGGAAGTTTTAGTCGTTCACATGTTAATGAATCTTATCAGAAGACCTACATTTGATGGAAAATGAAACCATCTGGCCCCTAAAGAAATAATTTGCAATTATATGGGGGGTTTAAATACAGATAAAAATGCATCTTAAATATATATCCGTGTGAGAGGTAATTATAATTTTTCCTAGAATTCCCGTTTTGGGATTTTAATTTGCCGCTAACCTTTCTTAAACTTTAAGAAGCAATAAAGTGAATGTATAACGCAAAATCGAGGGTTTTATCCGAATATTCGCCTCCTTAACACTTTTTCTAACGATATGAAGTACTTCACTATTTATCTATTTTTTTCAAAAACTTACATTTTAGAACAAAGAGGAGTACAGTATATAATATTTTGGAATGCGAAAATAGCCTCTGAAAAATTCCTCTCTGTGCAGTGACGATTTATATGAGTCATACCTCATATATCTAAGATCAAATATATATATATATAGATCAAATTTATATGAGTCATACGACATACGATCACCTAATATGATATTTCATGAGGCCAGTAATCATTTTACTAACGGAGTGGTGAAGTTACTCCTGTTGGAAACTAGTTCCTCATTTGCAATTCGATCCATAAAAAGGCCGAGCCTGTTCTCAGAAAGTTGAACCCAACGACGTAGAAAACTCGTTCATTTGCACTTACTGCATTCCGAGAGCTTTTGATGTAAATTTTCGAGGAAGAGTTCGAACGAGGTCGCACGCGACAGAGTGAGAACATTAATTCGAAAAAACTTTTCTATCAAATGGCCTGGATGTCACGAAGGGTCTTTCAATCGCGAAGAAGGGACGCATGAAGGGATAACTGATTGATTCCGAGTAGATTTGAAGCATAATAATAAAAGGGAAACGATTGATTCTGAGCAGCGCGAAGCTTCGAATTTATTTCCACCGTATTTCCTCCATACTTCTGAAATATTTCACTGTATCTCGTGAGAAACCCAGCCACATCGACAACTACAACGATTTCTCAGGTTTTTTTCTTCTTCCAACTTGTTTCTTTCAATGTACTTAGCAAGAAAAAGGATCAAGCGAAAGGTGCCATAAAAAAAAAGAATCAAACTACACGCATGCTACAAGAATTCAAGACATTCCTCCGACATGACGACTCGTAATAAAGACCCGCGAGGCTGCGGATTTGCGTAACAGACCCGATTTGCAGGCTTCTTTTTGGCAATTTTTGTTTCTGCATGCAACAGACGGCTTATTTATAAAGCTGTGTATCATTAGAAGAGTAAAGCAGATCGCGGAATTCGTCTTTAGGAAGGTCAGCGGGAAACCCAGCGGCTTTAGGATGAAGTCGAGCGAGTTTCCTATAGTTTCTTGAGATCCGGGGGAATGCCAGTCATTGCTCAATCAAGCTGAAAAGTAAACAGTAAATTCAATTTATTTTTTGCCTTGCCAAGCATGCAACTATCACATTGACGCAACGACACATTGTTTATATATATGCGAGGTAAATAAAACAACGGCGTCCTAGAGCAGCAATTTCTCGAATTTTAAAATAAATGATATCTTTAATCACGTACATGTAAGATACAATATACCTGCATTTGATTTTTAATGCTGTTTTGTCCGTTTAATCAGCACCGAAAAATGGATTTATACAGAATTTAGTGATTAATTTTATCCTCATCGTGTTTTTTTCTTCTTTCAGTGGCCACCGTGACTCGGAATTCGGAACATTTGGATAACAATAATTTACCAAAAGCTCCTCTATTCGGAAGTTCAGGGAATTATGGATACTAAGACTGCTAATGAATTCAATTATTTTATTCCTTACCCTTGTACTATTCCTCATAGAGATACGTTGTTGTTCTGCGACTCTCAACTGAGACTGAATAACTTATTTTTGATTATCGTTAATAATATAAGCATTTTGCGTATAATCTAATACCTTCTAACTTTTCCGAAACTTGATGTTCAAATTTTCTGGGACCTTGACTTGCAATGACCTCTTGCCCCGCAATTTGACTTTCAGAGATACTCAAAATGTCAAATTTGATGTAGAAAATGTAGAATTTGATTATATGTTGCAATTCAACCCTTAATGAGGAATGGAGTAGGGTTGAATTGCAGGGCACCAGCACCACATGCACTGATTATATAACAGGAATGATGAACAAAATACCACTCAGAGCATGAGAGCAGTGATTAATTTTCAAAGCATTTTCTCTGCAAAAATAATTTTTTAATATTTTTTTAAGATTTCAGCTCTGAGCTCCTACATAGTGAGACAGGTATTTTTTCAAGTGATCCATGGGTACACCAAATTTTGCTAATATTTCCTGGCTTCAACCCGCGAGAAGGGTTACATCTGAATGCAGTATTTCCCAGGTGAACATCTTCACACAAACCTCGAGTTTGCTTTATTTGTTGGCAGCAGCAGCGTGCGGCGCCGCGTCGGATTCAGATCTAAGAGGGACTCTCTTATTATTGCCGTCATCGTCGCCACGGAATTTCCTGTCGCCGCTGTTGGCCTTGCGGAACATGACGTTTCGGAGGGCATCCCGCTTCTTCCGGCCCGGCGACATGTCGGAGTTCCAGTAGGAGGCTTCTTTCACGGCTCCGACGACGTCTTTGTAATCGCAGCTATGCGACATGCCGCCGTTGAAGAGACACGTGCGTTTCGGCCTGGCATCCGTGCCGTCCTGTTGTTGTTGGTGGTGTTGTTGCTGTTGTAATGGGTCGCTTCCGGTGTCCAGCCTGCGGATCGAGACCGGAAATACTTTAAAGCAGCAGCAGTCGGACCTTTTCACGTTGAATTTGAAGCGACCGAGACCGACAAAAATTTGACTTGGAGAGGCTTATTCGAGTTTTTGGAGGTTATAGGGGGACTGCAGGGCTGATAATGATCGGATTATATAAAGGAAAAAAATGTATTCGAATTAGGAAGGTATTTTTGCTTATAGGAAGGTTTGAGATTAAAATAAAAACAAACGGTATATGGCCAGATGTGAGAAATGAAGAATCGCGTTCTTGGTGTATGTCATTTACTTCACGTTTGAACCCGGTATATCGTCCGTCGCGAACAATGCGCATAAATAATTGATTATTCGAAAGATAAGAACTGTATTGTGCTCTTGACAATACAATGCTCTTGATAAGTACTGTACAATGCTTCCAATGAAGGAAATATTCCTTCATTGGAGGAAATACGAAAAAGAGTGAAAGAGGAGAACTTGGAAGAATAAATGTTTATGGCTGCAAAGTTTTGTGCCGAGTACTTTTTTTCTTGTGATTCAGCACATATTCGTTTTTATTCCTTATGAAACGTCGGTGATTTTCAAGTAAGTGTTCAACAGGATCGCAAAAAATGGTAATCGCTTGCTTCGTCAATGTATTGATATTATTGCCTACGTGTTTGGATGCACTTCGAATAGCCAATTATTGAAAAAAGATAACTTTTCGAGTCCATAAGGCTTTATGTGATAAAGAATAAGTACATAATTTACAAAATCAAGAAAGAGATATAAGGAGAGACTGAAGAAAAATCTAAAATATCTCCGACGACTGAAACGTTGAGGTTGTCTCCGGGTCTCAAAATGCCGCAGTTGAGGATTTAATAAAATTTGTCTGCTTCTATAATGAGTTTTAAATTTTTCATAGAATTTCTCAGCATCCTAGTGCTTCAAATTTGAACATTGCATCACGAGAAATAGTTTCTGCTGGTCGTCACCAAGCCGTTTCCAGTTGTCTTTCCAACTCACACAAAAATTGAGAAATATACTGGAACTTAAGAAGTACGGGAAATACTGTATAACAAAACGAATCACTTGGAAAAAATGCTGAACAGATGAAGAAGAAAAAACATGCAGAATCTAGACTTCATTTTGATGAATGAAGTTTTCCACAAAAAATGGCGAGATGTAAGGATATGAAAAGGTCTTTCATTAAAATCAAAAGAACATATTATACGGCGATTCGAGAAAAATTATTCGAATGTATGATACTGTATATATTTTTGGGTGTGTGGGATAGTGTTTTGTGATGCATTACACGTGAAGCATTTTTAGAAGAATTAAAGTCAGCGAAGCATTCTGCTAATTAAGACATTCATTTTGCAGCTGATCTCGCTAAAAATGGAAGGAAACTAACTTTTTACATGACATTCTAAAGGAGAGATTAGAGATTGGATTTTGACGGGTCATGGGTGTCAAATAGTAGTGTTGAGGAATATTCAATCATTTCATTCTTTGGAAACGTAATATTTCCACCAAATCTCGATACAGGATTGCAATTTTTTTTTAAATCAAGTGAGTAATAAATAAATGCCAATGATGGCATGGCATTATTACCCTTGTTATTATGACACAGTATTGCACTTTATCAGAGCACAAGAATTCTCGAGAGCAAATTTTACTCAAACGACAAGGGTTCACTGTTATGTGCAGCATAGATGTTGAGAATGAACCAGTCATCCAATCATTTTTTTAGAAAACCACTAAATTCACGAAAACAACTCATAAAGACGTCGACAATGATCAGGAATTCCTATCTAACTTGTTCGTTTACATTTTGCTCTGGGGTTTCGAAAGCTTCGTCCCTCACTTCAATTAGAACCGAGGGAGAAATTCATCATGCATTTTGTTCCCATTCACCTCAATTTGCATTGCCATTTATCTATGTCGTAAATTATTGGAATTGTCGGAGACAGCTTCGATATATGAGCCTAAAGTGGGTATAACGTTTGCATATGTGCTTGGAACAGTTTGGCGTTTCGAAAACGGATTAATTTTAATCAAAGTCAAACTGGTTCGGGTTCCACAGCTTCATGAATTCGGTTCAACGCTTGCGAATCCAGTTATCAGCAGACAACCTTGACTTTCGAGTCGCAGGAGAATTTTTGCGTGAAATGAAGCCCATTCATGCTTCCGTCTTCCGCATTGATTGCATCCTCGGGATGAAACGAGGTTTCATACATTCTCACCAACAACAACAAAAAAAAGCTTCCAAAAGCGTTCCAATCATTCCACCTGACAGAGAATCCATTCACATTCGAAATTCACCTCAACTGAGAATTCGGAAGATATTCTTGCGACTGTATCAACATCTCAACAATGAACGCCTTGGAAACGTGAAGCAGGGATTCGTTCGGTTATTTCTTCAAAGCAATCTTTCAAGAGACGGTAAGTGTGGAGGAAATAAATTATGAATTCAACAAACGTTCCCAGTTATATTTCATATTCTGCTGATCTGTGGAATATCTGTACCCTTTTCACGGGATCCAAAGATCATTACTGCTTATCTCTGCTTCCCGAACTTCTGCGATGTCCCAATGTTCATCGCATTTATCGAAACACGCCATGAACTTTGCTCCTATAAGTTTCTGGGGTGAGCAGAGCAACCCTAAAAGTACTAGAAAGGTACGACGAAAACAGAAATAATGTACAGTGAAACTGATCTGTAAAATCATTATCTGGAAGACGTGATCGTTTGGTAATGCGCCACAAAATACTGTATCATCTGAATTGAGTTTCTAATGACAACCTTTCGAAACATGCTAATTTTCTGTGCATGTATATAATTAACGGCAATTTAAATGCATGTTTCTACAAAAATGAACCATTTTAGTTTCCGCATTTTTAATAACATTTAATGGATATCTGCACTGCTGATTCAAGGTGACATTTATGGCAAGAATATGTTTTAGATGAGACTATAACCTGGAAGAAACGTGCAGTACTTTTTTCATAACTGAATTTGCAAGGTTGAAACAACTTATGACCTAACTCGGGAATAATCAGTGGGAACAAATGTTTTAACCCCTCGTCTGCTGCTCTGAATTGAATACGTTTTGGAAGGGCTTTTCGGCAAAGAAAACCAACTTTCGATAATTTTCTGCTCCTGAAATGCAGGAAGCTGACCGAGCGAAAATTTGCAATGTGGCAGCGAATGTCCAAAATTGCCGAATGGAGTTTATTTTAAATGGATGCGTTTATCAATAAATACGTTAAAATTCATTTCGGTCTTAATTTCGAAACATTATATCAAAGTAATCGAAATACACTGCTGTACTTGCGTTATTTTTCTCATAAAAACCTGAAAGAACGAATTTCACCTTTCATCGGGCTCTTGACTCAATTCCCAGAAAATGATAAAGTCAAAATTCGTTTCTTTTTATTCCATTCGAAGGCGAGTTCATTGCGCAATTTTCGGATTTACCCCTGTATAGTTCATTTGAATTTGCATTAATAATGCATGCAGGGGGTAAAATCAAAGGCCCTATCATCATGTACGGATATATCCAAACTTTGCTCCGCAACACTGGATCCCCGTGCTCCTAATTCTTGACGAATGGTATGCACCCGTGTTTCACCCAAGAATAACTGGTAGAATGAATGATTCCGTGCCACTATCCTACGCCGAAAATCGCGATTTCCGCGTCATTCTCCGCGAATTTCACTGACAAAAGCCCTCCCGCGGAAAATTAGTCCACACACGCTGATAGCAGGTGGCACCACGAGAGCGAAACATTTTCTCGTCATCCCGAGGATTCTGTTTGACAGCTGCGTCATGAATTCCCCTGGTTTTCCTCGTATATACGAGAAGGAGGGGATACATGGAAATATGCAAAATTCCTAGAGATGTATGATGTAAGAGCGAAGAAAGTGATGACGACGAGAGCTGGAATATGCATTTCGCTTTAATTGATTGCTGTTGAAACCGGTCGGTCCACATGCTGGACTTTAATGAGAGTATCATCGCATCTTGGCCTTCATGCCAGGATCGGTTCATAAGTTTTGAGACTTTCTGAGATTGATCTAACAGAGGATTCAGCAATCCCAGATTCCTTTTTTCTTACTGGCATAATGGCCCCATCATTCGGCAATATTTTAGTGCTGTTTAACGTATTCTCCGCCGATTTCAATGCATTTTCTTCCTGCGATAAATCCTGCGTTCAAAACAGTGCCAAAAATCGAGTTCTGTGAGTTGATTATATGCACCCTGTGACTTCTGGTTGTTGCCGACAGTGAAGAACACCTAAGAATGAATTTATTTCTACGAAAGGGACAACATCATTTCCTCCGACCAAGAGCACATCATTTCCTCCGACCAAGAGCACTTATACTGAACTAACAGAAATCGATTTTCGGAACTGTTTGAATCGTTGGATTTAGCGCAAGAAAAAGGCATTGAAATCGACGGAGAGTGTGAGAGTGTGTTGAATAGCTCTGCATTTTGGCTATGCGAATAAAAATAAATAAATAAATTTGGAATTGTTGAAACTCCGTTGGATCTGTATTTTTAAAAGTCTCAAAACTTATGAACCAGCCCTCGAAGTGGCGGCCACATTTTTTTCAGCTCGAAAGTGTCGGCCACTTTGGCGGCTGTGAAGGCGGCTGTCGATGAAAATGGCGGAATTGCCTTGGAAGACCTGGAGGCAACCCTTGGAATTACTACCACATTGATTTCAAGAATTCTGAGGGGAATGCTGGGCTGCAAAAAAAAAACTGCAGGAAGGGCGCCTCATCTGTTGAGTGGATAGCAAAACTCTGCCAGGGCGAATTTTGCAAAACATTAAAAAAATTGTCGAACAGGGCTGATTTTTTTGTGTGCCAAAGAATATGTTTGCCCTAAAGAATACTTTTTTTGCATCTCAATTAGATGACATTTTTATTTTCATTCCGAGAACTTTTGTTAGAACCCTCGTATATAGGATCATATCTCTCATCGAATTATTACGAACCTGTTCTCTGCTGCAGGCAAAGGATTGCTTCTTGCATTCGCCACCAGCAAGCCGTAAACCATGCGTCGCAAAATGCCGAGTTCACGTACAAGGTCGGGTCGAAGGCCTCCTATGGGTTTTACGTCATTTGAGCGGAATCCCACGCTGTGGAGAAAGAACAAATGCGTTTCGATTTTCCAGAAAATCAATATTTATTTCCTGCTGAAAGATTGGCTATACATAGTACTTGTTGCCCTTGTCGAAAAAACATTTTTCAAGGGTTGCAAAAATGAGTGCACAAGAGCTGGAAAATTTTACTGCATTTCAGGCTGGTGTAAAGTAAAAAAAAAAAAAGCTGTATGTGATGCGTGAATTCAAGGAGCGCATACTATTTTTTTTTACACATGAGGATGAGGAGAAACTATTCAACCACAAAAATCCACTATAAACCAGATTTGCCGTATTATTTTTAGGCTCATGCTGGAGGGAAAAATTAAAATCGCAGAGATGAAAAATGTGCTGGGAATCAATATTTGGCTCTCGTCCGCTCTTAATGATACCTGTAATCGTCGTCGTAAATGGTTTGCGGGTAACCATTAGTCGCTGACAGACAAATCAAGGCGACGACGAGGACGAAGAAAGTCGAGCAGTAGCGAAGCGCCATAGATGACAGACAGCTGCTGAAAGATTCCAGAGAAAATATGAAAAAAAGAGAAAGAAATATGATGATAAATCGTGAGAGTGAAATACCAGCGATTTCTTCAAAACCAATCATTTCCACCCATCACTAAAGGCCAAACTTTTCAGAAAAATTCAACGAATGACGCGTACTTCGAACAAAGTTTTGTGTACTCCGTGACTCCGTACGTCGGGAAGCATTTGCTTGGCTCATTTTTGATGGGCAGTAAAGGTTTCGAATTTTTTTTTAAATTCAGAATATGGGAAGTTTTCTCGGCCAGGCCGCTGATGTAGGTCTTCACAGTTTCTATTCCTTTAGTGATCGAATAAGTCAAATTTTCTTCACAGAATGAAGGTACAGTTGAACCTGGATAAGTCGAACCTGTCAAAGTCGAATAACTGCATATAAGCCCTGTTTTTTCAACTCCCTGCCTGAATCTTCGCAATTTTTTTTTTAACTTTTCCTACCGAAAAAATTGTTTTTCCTTTAACTGGAAACCTCCAAAAATCAAAACCTCCCAAAGTAAAATGTTTTTCCTGGGTCCTAGAAATTTGACTTGGAGAGGTTTGGCTGCATATGAAGAGAAAAATTTTTGAATAACATTTTCAATAAGTGAGAATCGCATTTTAACACATTTAATATGCAGGTTATGAAGTACAGCAATGCATCCAATTTTCTGACGTTTCATTCAAATTGACAATGAGTACATCGGAACTCCAAGCCAAACCCTCTTCGATCACCTTTCAAAGCTTGAGACACTTAATTTAGAGTTTAAACCAAGTTTGGAATAATTCAATCGTCATAATTGACAAAACATCGATGGGTAACACCTTAAAGAAGTATATAAATGTTCAAAAAAGAAAATTGCAGCTGAATATAATAATTATAACACCGTGGTTTCATCCTTTCTTGAAATTGAGGGGCGATTCAAATTTTTCCAACCGTTCTTTTTCTCAGACACATTACTTCGTAAAGATTCACCATTGATCTTAAAATAAAAATCAATGAACATACACACAATTTTGAACAAATTATTTTCCGAATGTATGTGAATGATGCATCCGAGAAGAAGGAGACAATTCAGTCCAAACGTCTGAGTAAAACCTTTACAAATTTGTGATCCGCCAATAAAAACCGGAACTGGATTTTCTCGCGTTAAACGACACGTTTTAAACTTTATGATTACCCCTTTCAGGCAAGTCTGCCGTACTCGCTTCTTCTTGGTTCTCATGCATTACGTTTGATCATAGGATGATAAAATGTAGCCACGAATGCTACGGAATAAATTACCTCGTCGACACTCTACAGATCCCATGATGTGTTACTTCTGTGACTCGTCGAGTTTCACTGGGTGTTGATTCAGTTTGCTTTGATGGCATCCGATGGTCAAGGGTCATCATATTCCTCTTTGGTCATGTATGGTCGATGAAAACATGTTCTTTGCGCGAGAGGAAATATATGCAACTCCGTTCTATGTAGACTGGCGTCAATAGTATGCAACGTATGTTGTTATAGGGAGTTCATGAGAAGCGTGACGTTATTGCCTAAGAATAAATAATGAATTATTCCATTTATTTCAGATTAATTTATTCATTAAAAAAAGCTAGTTCAGATCTTGATTTTTGATTGGTCGGGCAACCGATAGACATGTGAGAGAAACTGTCACGTTCTTGCTTCAAAAAAGATTGCAAGTTTAAAAAGAAAAACTGAATGCGAGCGGGATCATCGATATTTGAAGCAGTATACTATTATTTAAATAATTCTTAACTTGATCTCAAAGATATCTGAGATATATTTCATTTTACGAGTAAAATACGGCAGGCTAACGGTGCCCTTGCCTGGGGGTTCGATTACACACGTAAGTGTTGACATTTTGAAATGGACAAGAGGAAATTCGAAGTCGCCCACTTTTCATTTGGAGTCTTAAATCTGTCATCGAATTCAAAAGCTTTCACTACTGCCAGAGCTATAAATTTTCAGGGATTCTCGAAAAGTAGGTATAGAATCGACAAATTTCGTCGGAAACGCAGTCGTAAAATTCCGTAGTCTCTTTTTTTTCTGTTGTAAAATTTTCTGGGACGATGTCAACCGTTTTCGTAATACGTACAAGACCGTCGAAAACGATTTTAGTGCACTTGAAACGGTATATTGCCGACTATTTCCATGCGTCCGCTTCTCGAGACCAAATGTTCTGAGCGTTCTTCGCATAAAAAGTAAGAATGGCCCCCTCGTCATTTTTTGCTCAAAAGGAAACTGAGATTCCCAGTGACGACCTTCGGAATGGGACACGTGTGTACCCTGGAACCCATTTTTAACACGTGCGCCTGGGCAACAAATGTCATTTTCCTTCCACGTCCGAACAACTTTAACTCGATTACTTACTGCTGTAATACGTTTCCCTCTGACGTAATCGACGAAAGTTGATGCTTTCAACAACATTTACGGAACGGAATAAATCTGGTTCGTTTTCTGGAAATTTCATCTCGATGAAGTCAAATTTTTCCGCGATATACTTCGAATATAATGCGCGAATTTAGCGCAGACGCATTTCAACCTAGAAAATCAATTTCTATCCCTGGGGAGAGTTGGCAGGAAGTTTAAAAAATGGCATATCCTGAGCATTTTTTATTATTCGCAGTCAAACAGCTACAGACGAAATGCATTCAAAATCAATGCATAAAGGAGTGTAATTGGCAGAATTTTCTTTAGAAGTATCAATTTCACACTCAGATCAGCGAATAAGGTATATATTCGCTGATTACCGAGTTGACGGTTCTGAAGATCAGAATGGGAAAAAAATTTCCATTTCTTCTCTTAAATGAATATTTGTACTAGTGGTTTTCACTGTGTAGCTGTAATTCTTGATTTTTTTTCCTCGTGGTTAATCTTCATTTTTGTTCCAAAATTTCATCTGCTTCCTGAACGCGGCGTCAGCTGCGCTGATGAAATTCGCGGTTTTCTGAAAGGACGGCGGTAAATTTCATTTTTTTCCGGTACCCAAGATTCCGACTTTCATGCGGGAAAATGATGAAAGAGAATAAATATATTCTCTACTTTCCTCCAGACACATCCGGCCTTTTTTTCTCGATGACATCCCCATCAATACCGACGAAACTGACGTGCTGCTCGAAGGCATCACAAAATTTTGGTTTTTGTGAGACGTATATGACTGAAGCGTGGGTTTTGCAAATTATAAGGCCAGGACGTTTGGTATTTCTGTGGATAACTAGTTTCTGAAAAATATACGTTTTTCATTTTTTTCGGCTGCAGTATTTTTGGAAAAATAAAATCTTTTCTGCCGCGAAATTCGGAAAAGCATTCTCTTCACGGTCGCATGAGCAGCGCTCTTCTATAGTGCATGTTCTTATCACTACCGATGTTTTCGACCTGGAAGGAAGTATTTACGTTTGTATAAATTATCTTTTCAATTTGTTTTGTTTTTTAAAAAAAAAACGAAAATAAATACAGTACTTATTGCATGCCCCGTTCTGAGATGAGCGGGCACGCAAATGCGTACATGATAAAGTCTGGAGATTTTTGACGCAGTTGTTAGACCGCCCACGAGGTTTTCTCACACCGCACGCGGTTGATGTTGATTTGAATAATTGATGATCATGCGACAGGTGCGAGCTTCCATGGTAATGCTGCTAGATTACTATTTTTTTCTGCAGACACATCAGACCTTTTTCCGCCACGTCGAATGGGTGCTTACTTTTTTTCAATAAAACGGATATGAAGCAAAAAATTTTTAAAGAAGGTTGCCTTGACACGAAGAAAAATCATGGACTGGAAAGGTTCATGAAATTTTTTTCCTGTTTATTTGAAAATTGTCCTTGAGACACAGACGAAAGAATAAATACGCCAAGAATTTCAATCAAATCCAATCTTTTTCAAAAAACTAAAAGTTGCAATGCTGGTTTGAACTATTGAAAATCGACTTTATGATTCAAGTTTCCTGAATTTTACCTGATTCAAAAGGCTCTGGAATATTCATTCGTACCCGAAATGATCTTTTGAAAATACCGTTTATATAGGTTGAAATTCTCAGCAATGTTCAAAAATGTGTCCTGAAAAGGTTGTTGTCATTTTTTTTATGTGAAACTTTCCTTTGAGTCTTTGACGCACAGATGAAGGAATATACCAACCTGTACCAACAATTTCAATCAAATGCGCTCTTTCTTCATAAAATTACAATGTACAGTGTTTATGCTGCAGGATTATTGAAAATTTTATTTATATTTCAAGTCTCCTCAGTTTTGCGTCTCAATAACAGGCTCGAATGATCATTCGTATTCAAAACCAACGTTTCAAGATAACGTTTCTGTTTGGAAATCCCAAGAAAGTTTGAAAATGCTTTCGAAAAACGTTGATACAATTTTTTTATTTGGAAATTGCCATTGACACAGAAGTGAAAGAATGTATGCTGCAAAAATTTCAATCAAATCTGCTCTTTTTCATAGAATTACGATGTACACTTGCATAGTGTTTAGGGATTATTGAACGTATTTCTTTATATTTCAAGTCTCCAGAATTTTATTTGACTCAATAACTCCAAATGATGATCATTCGAAACCAAAAAGGATATTGGTTGAAAATAACGTTCATAGTCAGGAATTCTCAGGAATGTTCGAAAACGTTGCACATCTTCATCCTCGATGACAACAACACGCACCTAATGTATTTCATTAAATTAGCACAAAATGCTGTTTTCCGCGATGCATCGCATTCCCATTGCATGCGCTCAAATACTGTATCTGCAAAAACAACCGTAAATCTATGAACAAGTGGTGTTATTCTGCCAAAATTCCTCTACGGTAATTCGAAAGCACTGGGGGGTTTAGTGTTTGTGCAGAAAAACTGTAGCTGAATGAACCCGTGCTACAGGGTGTTGCTGGGGGATAGAATGAAAACAACGACTGCGCGTGGCCGAAATTGGCACCATTAGGAAGAAGTCATTGACCTCAATTCATGCGGTCTGTGCTAAGGTGCGAGACAATCTGCCAACTTTCGCAAACAGGAACACGGAAGTGTTTCTTTCTTCCGAAAACAAGACATATGTATACAGTAGTTACTGCATTAGCCCGAGCAGAATTTCCGGGCGCAAATCTGAATATAAGCCGTAGACCAAAAAGAATTCCGAAAATAGCACAACATATTTAATACTGCACGCATCCCCTAGTAAATTTTGAGTTAAAAATTATCGTATGTTGCATTTCTGTCCTTTTTTCACCCATTTCCGACATGTTTACAAGCATGATTTCTTTCAACATTTATCTGTCGTTGTCTGAGCATCGAAGCTTTGAAAAAATATTATTTCCACCTTCAAAATATTCACAATTCATTCATTTTTTCAAAGCTTGAAATGAGAAATACCAAGTGAGCATTAACTTGACACCGGGATACGAATCCCTTTTTTTGTGGAAAAATACGGGAGTTCCAAAAACCCAGCTTCAGTTTAAATTCACGTGTTTTTTCACGCGGTTTCATAAAGCAGTATAATGAATTGAAAAATTCTTTAAACATTTCGGTAAGATGCATCAAATAAATCGAACAGGTTTTTTCGATGCTGCAGTCGAGAACTCAAGATGCATGCATTTCACGATGACTCAGAAGAAAACGTCCGAATGTGCGGAACAAACAAGTGAGACACTCTTATAGCTAAAAACAAAGATGATGTTTATGGAAGTCATCCCCCAAAGAAAGCGAAATCTTGAACGAGGAAAATGCCTCCTAAACCCGCAAAACTTCTCACCTCAGAAAGCGCCGAAAAAACATGAAGCCACNTACAGCCTTGAAGGCTGTAGAAGGACATCTGTAATGAATTAAAGCCTTGGAGGCTGCTGACCATCTGTGGGAACCAAGGTTTTCCGAGATTCCCACACAGATAAGAAATGAAAGACTAAATTCGTCGGGGAATTCGGGTTCTCCAAAGCTAGCGTGTCTAATTTAATGTATCCGTTAAAATATTCGCGACAGTTACTGCATTAGCCCCAGCAGAATTTCCGGGCGCAAATCTGAATATAAGCAGTAGACTAAAAATAATTCCGAAAATAGCACAACATATTTAATACTGCACGCATCCCCTGGTACATTTTGAGTTTAAAAGAATCGTATGTTGCATTTCTGTCCTTTTTTCACCCATTTCCAACATGCTTATAAGCATGATTTGTTTTAACATTTATCTGTCGTTGCCTCAGCATCGAAGCTTTGAAAAAATATTATTTCCACCGTCAAAATATTTTTTCTACCTTCAAAATGTCATTTCCACCTTCAAAATATTCGCAATTCATTCATTTTTTCAAAGCTTGAAATGAGAAATACCAAGTGAGCATTAACTTGACACCGGGATACGAATCCCTTTTTTTTGTGGAAAAATACGTGAGTTCCAAAAACCCAGCTTCAGTTTAAATTCACGTGTTTTTTCACCCGGTTTCATAAAGCAGTATGGAATTGAAAAATTCTTTAAAAATATCGGTAAGATACTTCAAATAAATCGAACAGGTTTTTTCGATGCTGCAGTCGAGAACTCAAGATGCATGCATTTCACGATGACTCAGAAGAAAACGTCCGAATGTGCGGAACAAACAAGTGAGACACTCTTATAGCTAAAAACAAAGATGATGTTTATGGAAGTCATCCCCCACAGAAAGCGAAATCTTGAACGAGGAAAATGCCTCCTAAACCCGCAAAACTTCTCACCTCAGAAAGCGCCGAAAAAACATGAAGCCACCAAAACTAAGAGTAATTGAGGTTTTTGTTTCTCGGCCATACAATAAAAATGGGCCACAAGAACCGCAACGAAGTCTTCCTTGTAGGTGTATTATTTGTTTGCTCCTTCGTCGTTCTTTAATAGAAAAGCAGGAGGTATTTTATGCCGAAAAACAATGCCTCCAGGCGAAAACATGAGAGGAAAGTTCTTTCTGTGGAACAGATACCGAAATATGTCCGGGCAAACATAAAATAACTTGAAATGCCGAAAAAAAGTCTTCGGATCCCTGGCATTTGTTTCGGCTCATGCCAAATTGGCTTCTCCGAAACAGTAAAAAAAACCACTTGCTAACAATATTCATGGTTTTGAGGCTAGGAAATATCTGTTTATTATTCCACATTTGATTTCAGATCCTAATTGAATTTCCGTGACTATAAAGAGTGTGTTTGATTATTTTACTAAAACTAAATTACCGTACCTTGAATAAATGTCTTGATTCAATGCTGATATATGAACTCAATGCACTTTTAAATTTTCGCATGATGAACAGCAATCGTGCAATAAATTTGTATAAAATAATTTGGATTCTCAATATTATTCCCGTTTCTTGGAATTTTGAGAAACCCCAGATGGAAAAGAAAACAGTGACACCGATGATAATCTCCTTGTCGCGTTTCCAAGTCACATAATCGTCTTTTTCCCTCCCAGCTTTCCACTTCACACTTCACGGAATGAACAAAGTGGCGCTTAATTATCAGCCCAGTAATTACCCGCAAGGAAAGGAAAAAAAAAAAGAGATTATCTTGCGGGTTTTTTTGATGGAACCCATTTTATTTGCCTAGTTCTCCTGCTATTTTCTGTGAAAGCTCCGTGACTATTTCGCATTTATTGATTTAAGGAGGATATCGGGGTCGACCGCAGGGGAAATGTTTTTCTTTCGATCTCGTGAATGTGAATTTCCTTTTCACTTCTTTTTCCCCCCCACCGTCCGAAATCACAGACGCAGAATATTCGAGAAAATTTTGAAATTTTCTCGGAAATCGCATGCTCGGGAGTGATCGAAGCTGTTGATTCAGGGTTCTTTATTTATTATTGTTTTTTTTGTACTTACCAAGATTTCCAGGCAGGCCGTCAAAGTTCACACAAGCGCGTTGAAAATGAGTGCTTCGTAGTGACTTCGGTCGGGGAAATGCCTATGTGCGATTCGGAACGATCACCTTTGGCAAACACGTTGAAAATACCGACGATGTCGACGAGATCCAGGAAATTTATATCCGGTTGTGGAGGAGAGGGCGTTGACAAGTTGCGCTCCTTGTTGACGCCAGGAGCGGATGTTCCGTTGGCCGCGGGAAGCCCCTTTAGTCCTGCGCTGTTCCTCCTTTTTCCCCTCTCCTCATCATACAAACAGTACATACATACATATATTGTATACATACACGAAGGCAAGCATTTTCTGGGCACATTTTTAGGGTTACTAGTGATGTGATTACTGGTATAAGCACAACTTGGAGAGTTTCACACCGGGAAAAATTGATTTTTTTTTTTGCTGTTTCTGGAGCAGGGTTGTGAATTATACCAGTACATGGACATTTCAGCAGTTTTTTTTTTACTCACCGACACTCACTTCCACCACACTCCATTCACCTCCACGCCACTCATTTCAGGGTTGTCAATTTTGAGGAAATTATAAGCACAATCAACATCAAAATGCTTGCAATTTTGATTGGGCAATGATTGTAGCATGCAGCAGGAAATGCAATTTTGATTTCGGGAAAATATTACAGACAAAAAAGCGATTGCAATTGGGAAAAATTTTAAAGAGTGCAATTAACAACCCTGTACTCAAGTATTGTAAGTATCTTCGTGATAGAAGACTCGATCAACAAAGCGTTTAATTAACGGCAAAGAATTGCATTTTGTTTTAAAAAGCGACTATAACAAAAGATTTTTCACGCGTGAAAATTTATGTAGAAGAAAAAATATTTGACTTTTTCTCAACTTAGGTCTTGGCTAAAAATTTTTATTTTTCTTAATGCTCATAGGCGAAAATTTTTGTAAGCTTATCCTGATTTCGCTGCAGACGGCTTATAAGCAAAGCATGCGCCTGAAATTTTTAGCCTGAAAATTGGATAGCACTGTTATCTTTTGTGACAGATGTACACTCTATTTCAATTCTGATAATCGAAATTCATTGAAAATAAATGCATCAGACTTCATATTTTGACTTGCATTGTAGTCAAATGGAATGTGGATTTTTTAATTGCCTGTTGAAATTGGTTTAAAATTACAGTTTTGAATCAAGTACGATGCACACCAACGCTTGAAAGAAATTTTGAATGTTATACCTGCCTATGATTAGCACCCTCTTTTTTCCTTAAAATTTGCACAATAAAAAAGGGCAGTCTTTTGAGTAAATACGGCATATTTTGACAATTTGTTAGTGGCTTGAATTGTATTCCAATAAATTTTCTAATTTTTCCTTAACCATTTGAAGTGCGCAGGTTTTTAAGGTCTATTAAAGTATATCGAGGGGTCCTCGTTAAATGAGTAAATTGGAAAGCGAACTAAGGAAGAAAGATTTGCTTCTGCAGCAAGATGAGCATCCGCAGAAATCATGTGAAAGATTGTGCAACAAAACTCATCCGAGGAGGAATTAGGTTTCTCATTCATGGAGAACCCCTCTCCTTTAAATTATTCAAATTTTAGCGTCATCGCCACGAAATGAAATGCAAGAATTTAGTTTTCTAGGCTGCTCTTGAAAAGTTAATTAAAAATTTTGCTCAACACAACTTACGCCTCATATGACGAACACTCTGAACAGCAAAAGCGTTTCTGCCATTAGAAAAAAATACATCGACGGGTAATATAAAACGAGTAACTTTTCTTTCTTCTACGTTTTCAAAATTAATCTTGCTTCGTGCAGCTTTCTGTTCTGGAAAAATATCAGTTTTCGTCTTTTGTTGACATCTCCATTATTTCAAAATTTACGTCGGACTTTTCTGTGGTGATAGTTGAAGAAATGAGATTGAAAATTGGGATTTTAAATTGAGACCCACTTATACGTGACCAAAACTCACGATCTACTTCATGTTTTTTTTTTAATTTGCGCAGTTTTCCTCATTCAGATGGAACGCAAGAATTTCATCTGCATAAATTTGTTCTGAATCATGTGTTACAGCTTTGCATTGGCCTCAAACTAATGACCTAGTTTTCATAAAAAATATGTGTTCTGGATGACGCATCACAGTACTCAATTTCCTATGAGAGCCAGGAAAATGACAATAATTTGTCCTTTGGAATTAACTCAAAGTGCGGTATATGGTTTTGAATGTTCTTCGATGAAACGTACTGTATTTTTGTGTCCCCGTTTTCCTAGGACATGCCCGAAGGCCATGCGTTACTAATCTTTGTTGACCTGGTAATGAAGGTTATCATTTCATATTTGAAGCATGGCCATATAAAAAAAATAAAAAATAAAATAAAAAAAAAAATTATTAAAAATATTAAAAATATAAACGGAAATATTAACAGTGTACAGTACTACAGTAATAAAATTCCTATATTTCTATTCCAGAAGTTGATCGAGCTTTGATTCTAGAAAAAAATTAGATTTTTCTTCCGTGAAACTATTTCCACTAGGAATTACTGTTGTTAACCTAAATTTTCTATACTTGTTGCAGGTGTCTTTTTAATGACAGGGATGGAGATGATCAGGTCCACTGTTGTCAGTTGTTTCTTCTTGGCACTTTTCAAAAGCTCTTTCTAGTCTCTGTACTCGAGTTATTAATNACTTACCAAGATTTCCAGGCAGGCCGTCAAAGTTCACACAAGCGCGTTGAAAATGAGTGCTTCGTAGTGACTTCGGTCGGGGAAATGCCTATGTGCGATTCGGAACGATCACCTTTGGCAAACACGTTGAAAATACCGACGATGTCGACGAGATCCAGGAAATTTATATCCGGTTGTGGAGGAGAGGGCGTTGACAAGTTGCGCTCCTTGTTGACGCCAGGAGCGGATGTTCCGTTGGCCGCGGGAAGCCCCTTTAGTCCTGCGCTGTTCCTCCTTTTTTCCCCTCTCTTCAATCATACATACAGTACTTACATACATATATTGTATACATACACGAACGCAAGCATTTTTCTCGGCATATTTTTAGGGTTACTAGTGATGTGATTACTGGTACAGTATAAGCACAACTTGGAGAGTTTCAGCACACCGGGAAAATTGATTTTCTTTTGCTGTTTCTCGAGCAGGGTTGTGAATTATACCAGTACATGGACATTTCAGCAGTTTTTTTTTTTACTCACCGACACTCACTTCCACCACACGCCAAGCACCTCCACGCCACTCATTTCAGGGTTGTCAATTTTGAGGAAATTAAGCACAATTACAATCAAAATCACAATGCTTGAAATTTTGAGTGCGCAATGATTGTAACATGCAGCAGGCATTGCAATTTTGATTTCGGAAAAATATTGCAGACAAAAAAGCGATTGCAATTGGGTAAAATTTTCAAGAGTGAAATTAGCAACCCTGTACTCAAGTATTAAAAGTATCTTCGTGATAGAAGACTCGATCAACAAAGCGTTTAATTAACGGCAAAGAATTGCATTTTGTTTTAATAAGCGACTATAACAAAAGATTTTTCACGCGTGAAAATTTATGTAGAAGAAAAAATATTTGACTTTTTCTCAACTTAGGTCTTGGCTAAAAAATTTTATTTTTCTTAATGCTCATAGGCGAAAACTTTTGTAAACTTATCCTGATTTCGCTGCAGACGGCTTAAGCAAAGCATGCGCCTAAAATTTTTAGCCTGAAAATGGGATAACGCTGTTATCTTTTGTGACAGATGTACACTCTATTTCAATTCTGAAAATCGAAATTCATTGAAAATAAATGCATCAGACTTCATATTTTGACTTGCATTGTAGTCAAATGGAATGTGGATTTTTTAATTGCCTGTTGAAATTGGTTTAAAATTACAGTTTTGAATCAAGTACGATGCACACCAACGCTTGAAAGAAATTTTGAATGTTATACCTGCCTATGATTAGCACCCTCTTTTTTCCTTAAAATTTGCACAATAAAAAAGGGCAGTCTTTTGAGTAAATACGGCATATTTTGACAATTTGTTAGTGGCTTGAATTGTATTCCAATAAATTTTCTAATTTTTCCTTAACCATTTGAAGTGCGCAGGTTTTTAAGGTCTATTAAAGTATATCGAGGGGTCCTCGTTAAATGAGTAAATTGGAAAGCGAACTAAGGAAGAAAGATTTGCTTCTGCAGCAAGATGAGCATCCGCAGAAATCATGTGAAAGATTGTGCAACAAAACTCATCCGAGGAGGAATTAGGTTTCTCATTCATGGAGAACCCCTCTCCTTTAAATTATTCAAATTTTAGCGTCATCGCCACGAAATGAAATGCAAGAATTTAGTTTTCTAGGCTGCTCTTGAAAAGTTAATTAAAAATTTTGCTCAACACAACTTACGCCTCATATGACGAACACTCTGAACAGCAAAAGCGTTTCTGCCATTAGAAAAAAATGCATCTACGGGTAATATAAAACGAGCAACGTTTCTTTCTTCTACGTTTTCAAAATTAATCTTGCTTTATTGTGCAGCTTTCTGCTCTGGAAAAATATCAGTTTTCTTCTTTTGTTGACATCTCCATTATTTCAAAATTTACGTCGGACTTTTCTGTGGTGATAGTTGAAGAAATGAGATTGAAAATTGGGATTTTAAATTGAGACCCACTTATACGTGACCATAACTCACGATCTACTTCATATATGTTTTTTTTTTTATTTGCGCAGTTTTCCTCATTCAGGTGGAACGCAAGAATTTCATCTGCATAAATTTGTTCTGAATCATGTCTTACAGCTTTGCATTGGCCTCAAACTAATGACCTAGTTTTCATAAAAAATATGTGTTTCGGATGACGCATCACAGTACTCAAATTCCTATGAAAGCCAGGAAAATGACAATAATTTGTCCTTTGGACTGAACTCAAAGTGCGGTATATGGTTTTGAATGCTCGTCGATGAAACGTACTGTATTTCTCTGTCCCCGTTTTCCTTAGGACATGCCCGAAGGCCATGCGTTACTAATCTTTGTTGACCTGATAATGAAGGTTATCATTTCATATCTGAAGCATGGCCATGCTCCTCGCGGAAATATTAACACTGTACAGTACTACAGTAATTATATTCCTATGTTTCTATTCCAGAAGTTAATCGAGCTTCGATTCTAGAAAAAAATTATATTTTTCTTCCATTAGACT